TTCCTGAATTATTATATTTTCTCAAATTTTTTTTCTTATGAAATGATAAAGCTACCCATTTCATTACTTATGAGGTCAATTTTTTTTTATTGGAGTTAAAATTAACGAAGATATGTGACCGAACCTAACCAACCCTACCTCGCCTAACCTAACCTATCTTTATAGGTTAGGTTAGGTTAAGTAGTTGAAAAAGTTAGGTTAGGTTAGGTTAGGTAGTCGAAAAACAATTAATTCGTGAAAACTTGGCTTATTAGGCAAATTGGGCCTTGCATAGTAGGCTGAGAAGTGCGTTCTGGTTACTAGGTACGACATAATATAATATATTATTATATATATATATATATATATATATATATATATATATATATATATATATATATATATATATATATATATATATATGTTGTACCTAGTAGCCAGAACTCACTTATCAGCCTACTATTCAAGGCCCGATTTGCCTAATAAGCCAAGTTTTCCTGAATTAATTTATTTACTATAATTTTTTTCTTATGAAATGATAAAGCTACCCTTTTCACTATGTATGAGGTCAATTTTTTTTTATTGGAGTTAAAATTAACGTAGGTTATGACCGAACCTAACCAACCCTACATAACCTAACCTAACCTATATATATTTGTAAGGTTAGGTTCATAGCCAATGAAAGCTAGGTTAGGTTAGGTTAGGAGGTTAGGTAGACGAAAAAACATAATTCAGGAAAACTTGGCTTATTAGGCAAATCGGGCCTTGCATAGTAGGCTGAGAAGTGAGTTCTGGCTACTAGGTACGACATATATATATATATATATATATATATATATATATATATATATATATATATATATATATATATATATGAGATGAGGCGATGAGCCACATTATTGTGACTCATCGCCTGTATATATATATATATGTTGTACCTAGTAGCCAGAACGTCGTACTCGGCCTACTAGCCTACTAGGCAAGACCCGATTTGCCTAATAAGCCAAGTTTTCCTGAATTTTATATATTTTTCTCATTTTTTCTTATGAAATGATAAATCTATCCATTTCATTATTTATAGGTTAATTTGTTGAAATTTATGTTAAAACTAATGTAGATATATGACTGAACCAAACCAACCTAACCTAACCTATCTAAACCTAACCTAAACTAACATAACTAAGTCAATAATTTATATTCCTAATATAATATAATAATAATAATTCAAATAAACTAATTGGAAACATTTTATTGAAAATAAAGAAAATCACTTGGCCTATTAGGCAAATTGGGCCTTGCATAATAGGCCAAGAAGTGCATTAATATATATTAAAATAAAATAAACAAAGAAATTAAAAAGACAAACAGCCGACCAGCGGGCATAGAGCACTGCGCCGGCTAAACTAAGTAGGCACAGAGAGCACAAAAACTGCACCAAAAGGCCGACCTCGACAACAAAAACCATGACCCCAGCACGGCCACAACACGTGACAAGACCCAAAAAGAGCAGCCTGCAAGCCAGGAAGACCCCGGAACCCCAGAAGGGAGAACCGGGTCACACATGAGGTAACTAAAAGCCTCCTAAACCCCCAAAGGGGACCCAAGAGGAAGCAACCTCTGGAACAAAACCAAATCGCACAAAGGAACCCGGAAAAGCCCAAACCACCACATTTGCTGGTGGAAATACACCACAAAGGGCAAAACACAGCACCCAGACGGAACCCCCAGTGAAACGGCCAAAACGGACCGAAAACCGAGGGACACAAAGTGTGGGAGCAAGCATAAACAGACAGGAACACTAGGTCAAAACCCCCAGGGTCCAGACCCAAACAGACAGAAAATGCAAAACCGGGGTAAAACCCAACACCCAAGCATTCCCAGAGGAACAGTAGAAGGGCAGAACACCTCAGAAAAAGCAAAGAAATGGCAACAGGAGGATAAAACCCCTGAAGGAGGCAAAAAACTCCCCCAAAACACGAGCTCGCACACCCAGGCACAGGTAAACAAACGGCATCGCCGTCCCGGTGACCAGGCTGGGAAGCAACCCGCAGGAAGAAAATGGCCACCAGAACAAAGCAGACGCGACCAATGCAAGAGATCTGAAAACACCCCCAGCAAATGTGGGAAATAAGCAGACGAAACAGACGAAAAACCCCACCCAGAAAGCAGAAAACCCAGGCAGGGGCAAATAGCCCCAGAACTGCTAGCGGGCCTCCCCCACAGCCCTGGGAACCCGCAACAGAGGCTCCGGGGCAGAGCCGTCCTCCACCCCCTCTGCCCTTAAAGAAAAGGAAGAAAGGAAGAGTCCAAGGAAAAGGCAGCAAAGAAAGGTAAGACCCAGGGACCAGATTCACGAAGCTGTTATACAAGTACTTACGAAAGTATACATCTTTCCTCAATCTTTTATGGCTTTAGTTACATTTATTAGACAGTTTATAAACATGAAAACTTCCCAATCAACTGTTATTATTGTCATAAACAGCCTCCTGGTACTTCAGAGCTCATTAACGGTTTAATAATTGTAAACAATGTCGCCAAAGATTGAGAAAAGATGTACAGGTTCTTGAGTGCTTGCGTAACTGCTTCGTGAATCTGGCCCCAGAAGCCTTGGCAGGAGGAACAGGCTCGAAAACCCCCGTCCCCAACCCGAACGGAGCAGCCCCCAAAGCCGCCCGAGTTTCGGCACCAACTAAACCCCGCCCTGACCCCGAAACCCAACTTAGCGCGTTGCAGCAACCTAAACTGAGCATGCAATGCGGATGCCGCCTATACCCTAACAGTAAGGATATCAGAAGAGTACTGAAGAACAAGCAGAGAACAACTCGCAAGACTCTAGGTCAAGGTGTCAGTGACCCAACAGGCAGCATGACAGAGGTAAAAAGAGGCGACTGTCACCCTGAGACAAGGGCACAGCAACCAACGAACCCGCACAAGATGGGTTGGAACTCGGAAGACACATCCACTGGTCCACCGAGCCCCGACAGGGTTTTCCAGGGCCCATAGGGAGATAACTACAGGAAGTCTGGGCAAGATGTCGCTAACTGGTTTACACCCAAAACTAACAAGGGGTAGAGGCTAACACTGAAAACCCCTGTGACATGTACAATCACGGGGACCTAGCAGAGGGCCACCAAACACTACCAGTCGAACTATAGCCACACTAGGCAGACCCCCCCCCCCCCCCCACCAAGCAAATGAAAAGAAAAAGAAAAGAAAAACCCCACAAAAGTACACCATCCCCAGAGGAAACAGGAACCAGTCGCCACGTAGGTGTCAGGTCGCAAACACCTTGACGCCCTAACCAGCACGATACCAGTCCCTATCCAAGGCCAAACAAAGGCCCTAATCCCCAGCTGGCCCCAAGGGCAAGGCAAATGCCGAGCAGCAAGAACCCCTACGGGAATGGATCCCGAACGCCCCAAGGAAGATAACCCTGACACGCAGGGGCAGTACTCACCGGGCGCTTACTGAAGGAATTCCCTAAGCACAAGCAGCCCCAGTACTGATGAGGAACACCTGGCCACCGCACAGCACAAAAACACGGCAGTGAGCAGCACGGAGGCAAACACCGCCTAGGAAACCGAGGCCAGACAAGCATCTGACCCGGTTGACATTAACTTATGAACTAGAGTGCTATGCAGCCGGTGCTGTGAGGTTCATGGCCCCACACCCCATCTCCCTCTTGGGGAGGGGAGGGCTATGCGGACGAGCGGTGTGGCAGTAGTGTGTTACGTTTGCTTGTTTCCTTGGGATTGAAGGTAGTTCTACCTCTCTTGTTCGGTTTTGTTGTTAGTTTCTTACCATGGGAGGTTTGTTTTGTTATGCCTACCTTTCTGGGGTGCCTTACCCCAGTCTATGGCAGATAAGGAAAACCCCTAACCACATGGGGGATTTTCCAGGGCCATTGCTCCCTGAAACCTCTCTGAAGGGGCCAGGTTCTCGCTCGTGGTCCCTGGTAGGTCCGAACTCCTCAGCTAATGTCCCGGTCTAATATAAAATACATTAGCCCAATACATTAATTCTAAAATACATTCTCCCCTCAGAAATAGCCCTAGAATGTTCCCTTGCAATTTAGAATTTAAGTTCAGCTTGTCTACTATTTGAGATACTCTTACCCAACTTAAGAAGAAACTTCATTAATCTGTGTTGGTTTTCCTCGTCAAAGTTGATAAAACTCTTTGGCAGTTCGCCTCTTTTGACTACAGAAGTTCCAAGTAGTCTGCAGGACAGCTTGAAGATATCGTACAGATAATTATCTCTGAATGAACTTCTTATTTGCTTGTGTTTAGTAAGGGATCTATCTTTATCCGATTCTGAGACATGGTTCATCTCTGCAGTGAGTTGGGCAAGTAGTTGCACTCCAATCACACACTGCTCTACTGAACCCTGAAATGGTAGACAGTTTATGATATCATATACGGTAAATAAATGTTATTTGCAATGTTATAAACTTGTAATTCTCTATCAATGATTTAAGAAATTAGAGCACTGCAACTTATTTATTTATAGTTATATTTTTTGAATGGCACACCATTGCAAAAATGAAATTTTTCTGTATAATTTGTGTCCAACATGCATATTAATTTTTTTCATTAAAAAAATATAAGCAAATAAATGATAATCAAAATAAAGAATTCTTGGTTTAACACTGAAGTAAGAGATAATAAACTTCTGTAATTATGATTTATTTTATTTATATAAAAACAAAATATGATTACTGTATAAGGTCATAAATCAGTACCAAAATTAATCTAAACTGCCTGCACCAATATGCAGTATAAAATGAAGCCACAAAAATCCAGCATTGAATGTTATGAAACATTTCTTTCTGGAAAGTCTTTCGTGGCTCCCTGTTGTTGCTAGCCATCATGTTAGCTCCACACATTTCAAGTCACACCAGGCCCTTGCAAGTCACTAAAAGCTTACCAGCACCCCTCAAAAAGACAGAATGGGATTCCTGATCACCTTAATTGAGAAATAAGCCACCAGAAAGTTAGATTGAAACAAAAGACCAGTGTTGAATGTAATGAAACGCCATTTTCTGGGCAAGACCCGGAGGCTCCCTGGAGCTATCCAGGCTGAATGGTTATGTATAACTTTCTGGCATTAGTCAAAGTGCTAGAAGTTCTTGCCTACCGGGGACCACGAGCCAGAACCTGGCCCCCTCAGAGAGGTGCGAGGAGCAATGGCCTATAGAAACTCTCCTTGTGGTTGGGAGCATTCTATGTCTGCCATCGACCGGGTCTGACACCCAGAGAGGTAGGCGTCCCAAAACAAACTCCTATTCTAGTGAAAATATTGCTAATGAAAGCCGAACGAGTGGACAGAACTCCCCAAACAAAATTAGCAAACTAACATGACGTCATCACGTCACCGCGCCGACATCTGCACAACCCCCTCCCCTTCCCGGGAAGGGGAAGCCCCAGACCCCGACACCGGTGATCCAACCGGCAGTTCTTAGGCTGGATGTCAAAATATGCGAAAAACATCACCGACCGGAGGGAGGGAGGGTTGCCGGGGAGCCTCTGGGTCTCACCCAGAAAATGGAGTTTCATTACATTCAACGCTGGTTTTCTGGGAGTAAGCCCCGTCGGCTCCCTGGAGGTACCTCACCAAAGATAAGGAAAAGAAGGAAGGACCTGGAAGGCAGACAGCATGCGCCCTAACATGAAAACAAGATCACAGACGAGAAGAAAGGACCCTGCAGATGACCCGGGAGACCTGAACCCCAGAACAGGAAGGAGGAAAGGAAGGGAACCCAGACAAACCAAAATGCGTTCACAGCCCCAGAGGCCAAGACACGAAGATAACAGTGAAGAGCCACAACCAAACAACAAGGGAAGCACCCCAGGCCTGACCAACCAAGCAGCAACCCAAGGACCCCTCCAGAAAGCAGTAGACCCAAACATCACCCGAGAAGGAGACTGCAGCCAAAGAACCTACCACGAGGACCAACGAGGCAGGAAAAACACGGGTGCTGGAGGAGAGCCAGAAACTCCCCAACCCGACCCCTAGAGGTCAACAGCAATAGAAAAAGATGACCGGAAAACAAAACAAAAACACACCCAAACCGAAGGAATCACGACAACCGAGGAAAAGAAAGAGAGACCACCCGGGCCAACGACCAGGATGGCACTGGAAGTGCAAGAGCAGGCCAGAGGTGAACGAAGCCCAAGAAAGCAAGCTGAACAGAGTAAAGGGAACAGCAACACTGAACGCAAGCTGGAGCGGCACCCCAAGCGCCACCCAGGACGAAGCAACAGTACACGGCACCAGAGGACGGTCCCGGAAAAACCCCGAAGGTAAAGACAAGACAACCCTATCAGAGACCGAAGAACCCTTCGCAGTGATAGGAAAACCAAAAGGACCGCCAGGAAACAACACGCTGCCGCCAAGATGAAGCACGCAGGTAGGAGACCAACAAGGAAGCCACCAGCACCCACACTAGCGACGAGAACACGAGACAAAAACCCCAGACGCGAAGCAACGAGGGGAAGAATGAACCAGCCCTGTACAGGGCTGGACTGAACTGCAAAAGAGGCAGAGCCGCGGGAAGCCCCACAGGATCAGAACTGAGGAAGCAGGGCCCCCAAACAAGGCTAGCAAAACCAGAAGGAACGGCCGCCAGGGAACCCTGGCGAACCAAATGGGACCAACCCGGATGAGCAGAATGCCCCGTATGCGAGGAACCCCCGCAACCATAAGGAGTAGCGCAACCAGCTCCAGCAGGGAAGAACGACGCATGCGTCAATGAGGTATACAGGAGGAGAATGACTCAGGACGTGTTCCGCAAGAAAACAAAAACGCATGTTACGGAAAAGGAACAAAGAAAAGCTGTAGCCAGGACCGGAATCCAAGCTACTCCTGTCCCAAGAAAAGGAACCAGGAGGGCAGGAGCGGTAGACCTGAAGCCCACAACCTCCCACAGACCTGACAACACAAAAGCCTGCAGGGAGAACACGGAAAAATTAACTCAGGAGCTGCCAGGAACACAACGTAACACGACCAACCACAACGCGTGTCGTGGGCGGTCGCACATACACAGGTGTTGTTGTCGTTTGAGATTTAGCGACGCAGAACGAATGTCCATGGAGCACGGGCTATGGAGAGCCCATAATTGAGTTCGGATATTCACGATAACCCCATTATAGGGAAATGCGGGTCAAAATTTGAAACGGATGTGGGGTTTCCATCCTGTTCCCCATTTCTGTTTCACTTCTGTGTCAGTGCACTGGGTTTAGTCTCGTATTAAGAACATTATCTTGGTGGCGGATGTAGATGCAGAATGCTCACTAGTGAGTCCCATTCCTCAACGACATGCACAGAGGGACACCATGGATATCAGGGTGCACTAGGCACTGAAGATAGACAAGGAAGGAGTGTCCAAAGACCGTAGACCAAGTCAAGGAAGAAGGACACAAAGCACGGACCGGGGGAACGAAGGAATGTCCAAACAAAACACACAACACCTAACACCCCAGCTAGCTACCAAAGATGCTACCCTGGCAAGTGGTGAAGTGACAGAGTAGACAAGGATGGAATATGTAACATGGGTGGTACAACGCACGAGGGGACACAGGTAGAAGCTGAGAACCCAAAGGAGCCACAAACACATAGAAAGAACTTTCCGAGAGTCAGTAGGCAGTACGGGGAATGCACTAGGAAGAGATGTGGTGGAGGCAGACTCCATACACAGTCGCAAATGTAGAGAAGAAAGAGCCCAATAGGTGCAGGAATCTGTACGCCTGAAGATGAACAGTGGAGAGGCGGGACCAAGAGCCAAGAGCAAGCACAACTAGGGGAGGACAACAAGGCGAGTACCCCCAAACAGCGAGACCTGGCCGACTGTGTCGCCAGACAGCACAAACTCACCTACAAAACAGACACACCACCGTGTCACGACACAGCTGAACCTTGCAATGTAACAGGAGCACCCCTAGTTGAGAACGTCCAGAGGAGCGAGCCCAGTAGGAGAAGACAGGATGCATGCAGTACAGAGGCGGCGCCACTCGGAGCCATCCCACCCTTGCTCCAGAACACCGAGTACCCAGGGTGTCATACGCGGAGAGAAGTGGAGCAAAAACAGCATAGAATCCGCAAGAAAACATGCAACCCTCACACATGTGTACACCGTTCAGAAACAAAACGATATCCCCGGCCCCAGCGCCTGAGGTACGAACCGCACCACCCGTCTGCCGGCCAGTGCGGCTCGTACACCAGTCGTATGTACACATATCGTACATACATCAGCAAGGCATACGTACACACGTACAAGGCAAGGGAACGAATAAGAGGAATGTTGAAACAGGGCAGAGAGACGAAGTGAATACAAGAGAAGACTGGAGGGGAAACGCACCGGAAGTCAGCAGATGTCCCAAGAACAATGGAAGTATTGAAGAGGTTCGCGAACCAACGAATACCGTGACAAACAAACAAACGCCCGGAGGCACAAACGAGCCCAAAGACACCCCAGACCAAGGGACGTGCAGGGATCCCGAAACGAAGGGAACCGAACCCAGAGATGGGTAGACCCAAGACCAACAAGAGTTCAGAAGGGGAAGGAAAAAAAACTCACTCTTAGGAACTGCAAGCCCCGCTCTGAGGGTATAAAACCCTTAGCAAAGCAAAACGAGGCCTAAGCCCCCCAAGCAACCCCTCCCCAACCCTGGGAACCCCTACGGCAGGGCATCCGGGGGTGGCAACCAAACTAGAGCGTTGCAGCAACCGAAACCTAGCATGCAACGCCGCAGCTGCCTGCACCCGTACATCAATAACAGTGGCTTGGGTGAACTGGAGCACGTACAGACAACACACGTCGCACAACTCCTGGTCGAAACAACATCGACCCAACAGGCAGCATGGCAGAGGCAAAACAGGCGAGCGTCACCCTGAGACAAGGGGACAGAGCAACCTGCAAACTCGCAAGATGCGAGGGGGGGGCGCAGGGGTCACATCCAGCAGACCACAGAGCCTCCATGGGGTTTTCCAGGGCCCTTAGCCATGGGTACACGCTAAGGGAAGCCCAGGCAGGGTACTGCGAACCGGCGCCCAAATCTACCAAACAAACTGCTAAAGCTGAACCCCCAGGAAGTGTCCACTCATGGGGGCCTAGCGGGAGACGCCACCAACAATAGAAAAACACAGATCTCGACCAGTGAATAACAGAGAGACCCCTCTCACCAGGCAGAACAAAAACAAAAGAAAAACCTCGCAAGAGGACAACGTACCCGAGCGGAACAGAGCCGGCCGCTATAATGTTAGAAGACTACCTGTGCAGTACCCTGCACCCCTACCAGTGATGACAACTATCCCCTACCCAGGGACTCACAAGGGCAAGAAAACCCCAGCAGACCCCAAGGGTTGCCAAGTACCAAGCAGTAAAAGGCACCACGGAGGCAGACTCCAAGGTGACTTGTGGAAGGAGGCCCCAAGGGCAGTACTTACCGGGCACCTAGGGAAGGCAGCCCGAGTACCTTGGAACATCACTCCTGGCTCACACACCCCCTGGAGAAACAGCCCACGTCACCAGACACAGGACTGAGAACAAAAATTCTGGAACCAGAGGTACGTGACTACACCAGAACCCATCAGCCAAGAACTAGTGTTGGGTAGCCGGCACGAGGGGTCTGGGGCTACCCCTTCCGGGGAGGGGGGGGGTTGCGCAGACGGCAGCGCGGCAACGTGATGACGTCATGCTCGTTTGCTAATTTTCGTTTGGGAAGTTCTGTCCACTTGTTCGGCTTTCGGTAGCAATAGTTTACCAGAATAGGGGTTTGTTTTGGGGTGCCTACCTTTCTGGGTGCCTGTCCTGGTCGATGGCAGATATAGAACGCTCCCAACCACAGGGGGGGGGTTTCTTTAGGCCATTGCTCCTCATGCCTCTCTGAGAGGGCCATGTTATGGCTCTTGAAACCCAGTAGGCAAGAACTCCAAGCACATTGACTGATGCCAGAAAGTTATACCTATCCATTCAGCCTGGATAGCTCCAGGGAGCCGACAGGGCTCCCCCCAGAAAACCAGCGTTGAATGTAATGAAATGCTATTTTCTGGGTGAGTCCTGGAGGCTCCCTGGAGCTATCCAAGCTGATATGTATATCATTAGACTTTGGCATCAGTCAGTGTGAATTGAGTTCTAGGCCTACCTGGGACCACGAATCAGAACCTGGCACCCTCAGAGGCACGAGGAGCAGTGGCCTATAGAAATGCACGTGGGATTTGGAATATTTTATGCCTGCCACTGGGTGCCTCGCACCCAGAAAGGTAAGCACCTCAAAACAAACATCTATTCTGGTTAAAATGATAAAAGAAGACTAACGAGTGGACAGAGCTCCCCAATTGAAAACGAGCAAACGAGCATGACGTCACACATGCCACGCCACATGTCTGCACAGCTCCCCCCTTCCCTGGAGGGGAAAGGGGGAGCTACTTTGCAGGTAACATGAAAAGTTACAACTGGACACAACTTATGATGCATCCCTGGCCAAACCAACCAAGCATCAACAACCCAAAAACCCCTCCAGAAAGCTGCAGTCTCATTCTTTGCAAGAAAAGAGAGAGACAGCTACAAACGAACAAACCTACCCCCAGGACCAAAAGAGCAGAAACCTCTGCGCTGGAGGAGAGCATGAAGCTCCTTAACCCAACCCCCAGAGGCCAATGCCAACAGGAAAAGAGCCTTCGCAAAACAATCTTGAACTGAAGGGGCCACACCAAGTTGAAGAGAAGAAAGAAAAAGAGAGCACCCAGTCCAACGACCAGAACGGCTCAGGTGCCGCATGAACAGGCCGGAGGTGATACAACGCACAAGGCATCTTGCGAAACGGGGCCGAAGTAACATCCACCCCGAACGCAAGCTGAAGCCGCACGATACGAGGCGACAATAATCGGCATAATATGACGGTCCTGAAACAACAAAGAAAGGAAGAACAAGGCATTCCGAACCAAAACAGAAGAAAACCTAAGAAGGGACAAGAAATAACGAAAAGACCACCAGGAAACTTCATACTGCCATCGAGACGAAGCTCGCAGGTGGGACACCATCAACGAAGCCACCTGTTCACCATACAAGTTGTGATACACCCATGACAGAAAGACCAGACGCGAAGACTAGAGAAGATCAAACCAGCAATGTAATGGACTGGCCCAATCTGCTGAAAGATGCGGAGCCATGGGAAGACCCCCTGGGATCAGACACCAAGCAAGCAGCGCCTGAAACCAAGGCTGGGCCGGCCACCATGGGGCCAACAGGACTACTCTCCTTTGGTACGTCTCCAAGCAAGCCAGGACCTGGTGCAACAGCGTGGGGGGGGGGGGGGGAAGAAGAGGCATAGGTAGCCCCACCTCGACCAGTCCTGCCTGAAGGCATCGACCCCGACAGCCTCGCAGTCGGGGAAGGGCGCCACACATACCAGGAGACGCCCCACACATACCAGGAGACGCCACGACCAAGTTGACGCGAAGAGGTTCACTTCTGGGAGCCCGTACGTCCGGCCGAGCCAATTGAACAAGTTGGCATCGACCGTTCATTCCGTTGACAGGGAAATGAACCGAGACAGGCTGTCCGCCAGGACGTTGGACACCTCCCCGAACGTGAACAGCCAGGAAAGTCAAACCCCGAGAACTCAGCAGACGAGTCACCCGAAGGAATGACCCCATATGGTGTCCATCCAATATAACAGGGATAAAAAATTATTAGAAATGTCCTTATCCATGGCCTGGCATGTGCACTGTACCCTCACCATGCCAGTGATCAAACCAAGGGATGCCAACTGATTCCTGCCTAAAAATGGCCGTTTCATTACACTTAACCCTCTATTTTTCTCTTGGCTGATGCCTTCCCAACCCATGAAAGCATGAAATTCAGTAGTGATGAAATGTTAATAATCAAGCAGCAAATCATAAGTTAAAATCATAAGAGATCATATATTATTCAAGTAATTATAAGAAACTACTACATTTCAAAAAACGAAAAGAGCTTTGCAGTTTCTTTACTTGTAAATGTTATTCAACAAATGCAAAAAAATATATAGAAAATCATGCTTACCTGAAGAAATCGGGTAACGTCCCCTACAACATTCCTGAATGCCCATTTATTCTTATCAAGGGCATCAAACCAGCCTTCTTTAGTAACCCTTACAATCAACACCACTAAGCCTTGAGTCACATAGTGAACAAGCTTAGGATGACTTGCCAAATAATCGAGAGCATACGTTCCTGAAAAAAAAAATGTGTAATTTAAATTCAGTTCTTGAGCAGTTCCTAAAAAATACATTGCCACACATGAAATCAATTGCTATCAATCAAGATTTCCTTATTATATGACTTCTATAATTTTTAAAGTAAATATAACACCTGATTCTTTGCCATTGCATTTTCATTTACCTGCAATGTTAACATGACTGACTGCTATTTATTCTTTAGACCATACAATAGATATCAATGGCTAAAATTGTCAAAAATACTTCTCTGCATGAATAGTGTATTATCCACAGTCTAACAATATTTCTGACTTATCCCACTCAGTTGCTCCTTAAGGCAAGATCATGGTCACTTTTGATAATGATTTGCTGCAGCCAAAGCAGGTTGAATCCCACACACGTGGTTATTTTGGAGGTTATCTCGAGATGATTCCAGGGCTTAGCATCACCACAGCCCAGTCCTCGACCAGGCCTCCTTTTTGTTACACACCCCCAGCAAGCAGCCCGTAGCAGCTGTCTAACTCCCAGGTACCTATTTACTGCTAGGTAACAGGAGTATCAGAGTGAAAGAAACTCTGCCCATTTGTTTCCGCCTCCACCGGGGATCAAACCCGGAACCTTAGGACTACGAATCTTAACACTTTCGCCCGGGCATGACGCAATGCTGTGTCATCTGTTTACTGTCGGTAATCACGGGCATGACACAATGCTGCGTCGTCCACTAAAATAATTGCCAAAAATCAGGTTTTTATCCGATTTTTGGGGGACTGTTTGGTAACTGTCAACAAGCCGAATGCAATCTGTGACTACAATACAAACATGAAAGGTGTTGATCACTTTGACCAAATGATCAAATATTATCACTTCATAAGGAAAACTCACAAATGGACGAAGAAAATGACCTTCTATTTTGTGCAAATGGCTATCTACAATGCTTATGTGATGTACAGCTACTACACAAAAAATACTAAACTATAATACTAAATATACTAAAATACTAAATACTAAACATTTGTGGGCAGAAATTGGGAGTGTAGCTGGAAGGTGTCTGGGCGCTCACTGGCGGTTAATGCGTGGCCCGTCTTCAACTCGTCGGCGGGTGGAGCGTGACCAGGTTTTTTATTTTATATGCTAATGTTCCTCTAGAGAATTCTATTGCAAACCCAGTGATACCAAAATGAAAGACCTAGGACGAAAATTGAGGTGACAAGAGTGAAAAGAGTGAACACATTTTATCGCTTTTGCGTGCTCCTGGGTAACTCGTTCGCACTTTCTCTGTTTGCTGCAGGTAATTAGCCGGGCTTTTGGAATTTATATGCATTTAGTGCTGTAGAGAATTCTATTGCGAACACAATGATACCAAATTTAATCTCGTAGGACGAGAATTGAGGTGACAAAGTTGAAGAGAGTATACACTTTTCAGAATTAACGCGCACTCCCGTGAAACGCTGGGACCCAAATCGCAGTTAAGGGGTGGCGCGCTGGGTACGCCAAAGTGTTAAGACTACGAATTGTTCCACAGCCAATTTTTTTCTCCAGTAGTACACAATATAATCTAATTTAACTGACTTGTGGTCAAATCTTGGATTCATGATGTTCAATGGTATGAGGCTCTGTCTGCAGAGTTTTGAACATGCCCTGGGCACATATTCAGGTTCTGGAGTTTAGGAAGTCCACCATCTCCACTCTTAGTTCTAGGGCAGTTGTAGAAATGCACCCAATGACCAGGGAGGAAGGGGATCAGTGAGCCACTGGGACTCGCCCAGAAATTGGCACTTCATTATAATTAATGCTGGTTTTCTGGGGGGATGGGAGCCCCCATGTGCCTCCCTGGAGCTAACTACTGACTGAGGAGGAAAACACACAGGAAAACTCACAAGGGAGAAGGACGCACTGCAGGAATTAAGTTGAAGAAAACACTTCACATGGCATCTACCAAAATAGAATCAAGGCAGAATGTCACCACTGGACATATCAAACGATGCACCCCAAGCAAAACCAACTAAGTGTCAACAACCAAAGGACCCCTCTGGAAGCCAATTGACTCATTCTTCACCAGAAAAGAACCTGGCAGTAAATGAACAAAACACCCACTAGGGCCAAAAGAACAAAAAACCCTGCCTCGGAATGAGAGCAAGAAGCTCCCCAATCCAACAACCAGAAGCAAGAGAAACCAAAAACAAAGATTTAAAGAAACCATCATGAAATAAAGGGGACACAGTAAACCAAGAGGAAGAAAAATCCAAAAACACTGTCCAGAGACAAAGCAGGCTCCAGCGGCACATGAGCAGGCCAAAGGTGAAACACGGCATGAGACAACTTATGAAATGGAGCTGAGGCAGTATTAACATTGTACGCAAGCAGCAGTGGCTCCACCAGCACCTCACAGTAACAAGCATGACAGTCAAGGATTTAAACAAGTGTGATAGTCAAAATACTAAAAACAATAGTCAAAAGACAAATGGGTTAAACACCTAGAGTAATGACATAATAACGGATACAGTATGGTTTTCAAACAGGAAGATCCGGTGTAACAAATCTTATTTTTTATGATAGAGCCACAGAGATAATACAGGAAAGAGGTGGTTGGTTTGATTGTGTCTATCTGGACCTAAACAAGGCTTTTGACAGAGTCCCACACAAGAGGCTGTTCTGGAAACTGGAACTTGCTGGACACAGAGAATTCTGACATGGATGAAAAATTTCCAGACAGATGAGGCAGGTAATCAGATATAATGTATTTGATGGAGAGTGTTACTAGCGGAGTACCACAGGATTCAGTTCTTGCACCAGTAATGTTCATCTTCTACATAAACGATTTACCAGAGGGAATACAGAATTATATGAATATGTTTGCAGATGATGCTAAAATACTGGGGAAGATAGGAGACAGTAATGTCCTTCAAATCGCTCTAGATAAGGTAAGTGCTTGGAGCATCAAGTGGCAAATAGAATTCACTGTGAATAAATGCCATGTTATGGAATGTGGAATCGGAGAAAAATGACGACACACAACTTACAAATTATATGGAAAGGAATTACAGAACTCTAATAAAGAACGAGACTTAGGGGTGGTTTTGAATGGTAAACTGTCACCAGAGAAATACACAAACAACATTGTGAGAGAAGTGTATGTATTGTTTTCCAACTTCAGACTTGCTTTTAATTATATGGATGGTGAAATACTAAAGAAACTGTTCCATGACTATTGTGAGACCAAAATTGGAATATGCAGCAGTTGTATGGTGCCCAAATCTCAAACTGGAAACTGGAAAAGGTGTAACGCAATGCTACAAAATGGCTCTCAGAACTGAAAAACAAAGAGTTACGAGGAGAGACTAGACAAGTTAAACATACCAAAACTAGAGGATATAAGAAAGAGAGGTGATATGATCACCATTTACAAAATACTATAAAATACTAACAGGAATCAATCAAATTGACAAAGAGGAAGTCCTGAAACCAGCAACTTTACGAACAAGAGGACACAAATTCAAGCTAAGGAAACAAAAGTGCCGAAAAAATATCACTCTTTTTGCAAACAGAGTGGTAGACGATTGAAACAAGTTAGGGGAGAAGGTGGTGGAGGCCAAAACCATCAGTAGTTTTAAAGTGTTATACGACAAAGAGTACTGGGAAGACAGAACACCATGAACGTAGCTCTCATCCTTTAACTACACTTAGGAAATTACAATACAAAATGACAGTAACCAACATGAGATGCCAATCAAGAGAAAAAGACAAGAAACCGGAGAAAAACGACAAATAGGAAAAGAAAGTGGCGAAAGGTGCACCAAAAAACTGTTCCCGAGAAGAACACAGGCGAGACACTACCAAAGACGCTACTTGCTTGCTGTAAAGATGGAGATAAACATGTGCCAAAAATACCAGACATTAAGTGTGCAGAGGAGAAGTGGGCAAAGACCTTCCAATAGAGGGCGAGCCTCAGAAAAACACTAGTTCAGACACAAAGCAAGCGGCTTCTGAAACCAAGACCGAACTGGCAACCGGGGAGCCAGAAGGATTACCCTCCTCTGGTAGGACTTCAATCTGGCCAGGACCCAGAGCAACAGCTGGACTGGGGTCAAGAGGCACACGAAACCCATGTACAGAACATACAAAGGTAGGCAACGAGGCCACACAGATGCAAAGAGGTCCATGTCCGGGTGCCCAAACAAAGCCACAGGAAGAAGGCGGCACTAACCGTCTACAAAGTGAAACGGAACAGAACCAAGACAGCCATCTGCAAGGACATTGGACACACTCGGAACAACGAAGAGCCAAGCCCATCAGAGCCAAGCCCCGTGAACCCAGCAGTAGAGCTACATGAAGTTATCCACTCGAAAGAGAACCCTGCAGAGGAAACAATGAACCACGGGGAAAGAGTCTGAACGGGGCCGAAGGAAGGAAACCAAAGGGTTTTGCACACTTGCTCAGTCCTGCCTTCAGCAGGCCTGAGAAAGCCCAAAGGCCTAATATTTTTATATCAGTGTCTCTGATATCAGCCCCACTGCACTGGGAAGCCATTGAGGGCCAATACAGAAAGAGCCAAGGATACTCCTCTGGAAAACTCCAAAACCATAGGAAAGGTCCCTGCCACAGAAGCGGAGGGACCAGGAATGAAGACTACATACATCCCAAAGTCCAAGAGCCAAGAAGGAAGAGGCAAGACTTCCACTTGGGAAGCCTTCAAAACTGGGAAAAAAAAAATATCAAATAACATACATTTGTGTATGAAGAAAACCATATGAGCCCTAGGAAACCATGGAATCAACATTGCACATGACTAGACAGTAAATCCATCAGTCATGTCCCAAATGTACATAGGGTAGAGGAAAGGAAAGTAGGGTTCACTGCCTTGATTAAAAACCAACAGAGGGGGTGACCTCTGTAGCCACATTCAGCAAACCCCAGACCTGACAGGCTAAATGATAGAGGCCAAGGGAATGAACATCAGTGGTCACAATTGAGAGTGACATCCCATATATAAAAAAAAAAGGGGACTGGGGCTACCAAGATACCCAGACCGTCATGCAGACAAGTTGGCATGCTACACATAAGGAAGGTGCTTTGGCTGAATAAATGCTTAACCTTGACCTTAATCAATTAACTGGGAACAGCATAAGCAGCTCCAGATAAGAACAATCACTTACGCAGCCCAAGAGCAGCCTAAGTGAAAGCATAAAAATCATTACGCGCCTAAGGAGAAAGGACAGGTATTAAACCGTTTATAAATGCACAGACAGATCACAGCCAACTTTGTAAGAAAGCTCTACTCCACAGTGAAGAACAAATCTCATGCACTACCCAGAAGCAAGGTGACTTTAAAGAGGAGTCAATTCAGAGGAGAAACCTAAACCCTTCAGAGCGAGTTTCTATGGTATGTATAGAAAAAATGCAAGACAACCACTGTGGATGAGAACCACGGAATAAAGTAGTGTGAAATATTAAACCAAGGCACATGCAATATGGGTGGCATAAAACATAATTGTAAACCATTAAAAGAAATAAAGTAATGGCTCCTAGGAGAAAAAAACACTCCAGGGATAGCCAATGCCAGTCAGCTAAAACATGATGCAGTAGATGGTGGTCAGGAAAAATATAGCTGGTGTTTACACTGAGGCAATGATCATTTGCTTCACTACCTTCAGTTCCATAATTTCTTTCAAGCAGTTGCTCGTTTTGTTGCATTTGTGAATTCCAGTGGAATTTTTCTTGGTTTTGGGCACATCTATGATACTCAAGCACCCCTTGCCTTGTTGAACTAGATTCTGGTATTAGCACCTGGTAAACATGAGTGAGTCTCAGATGCCTGGTGCATTTCCCAAGAAATGGCTTGACTACTGCTTAGCATCAAGGAGTTACTGAGATCTCTCTCCCGGAAAGAACTTTTGAATTTTAACTTCTGTCATCTCATTTGCAATAACAACCACATGTTTACACTTTTCAACTTGAATTTCAAAGACCACATTAAAGAGGCATAGTTGTTCCTTACTTCTCCCATTTTCTTTGATTGCTGTTTTTATAATAATAATTTATTTAGGGAAAAGTACATACATAGTTGCAGAGTTACAGTATAAACATTCTGATTAATTTAAAGATAGAGGTAGTACATACAATACCTAAAGCCATTAGTACGCATAGTGTTTCGGGCAAGGCGAGGTGAGGAAAAAAAACACATACTAAAACTTAATAGTAATTGAGCTTAAAGTATATATTGCGTTGAAAGAAAAAAAAATAATAAAAGATAAAAAAAAGGGGGGAACATGGTAGAAAATAGCCAATATACAAGTTGGTCAACAAACAACATTTTTTTTTTAAATAGTAAGACATGGGTTTATAACATTTACCCTAAAAAAAAGGGACCTATTAACACACCCATATTAACAAAATAATAAAATCATGGCAACAAGAAAAAAAGCTTACTCATATCCATTCTGTGCTGTAGTGACAGAGTACATGGCATTCTAGATGCAAGCTTTGTGAGAGTTGTCACTGCAAAATGTTGAGTGTAAGGCGACTTTGCTCGATCTAGGAGCAGCCGACACTGACTGAGAGTAGCAGCTCCACGCCCAGACTGAAATTCCACTAATGCCTTTTCTGCTTCGTGCTGCTGAACCCCATCGTTAGCCTCGTAAAGCTGCTTGCACAACAACTCTAGCTTCACCACCTCCTATTGGGTTAAGAATATTTATGAGTCAGTGTAGCATGTATATTAAATATTACTTGCTTATTTAAGTGCAATGGCAAGAAAGTAATTATCAACAGAAATGTGCTAAGCCAGAATGGCTATATAGCACTATGCAATTTTGTAAATTAAAAAAATTATCAATAAGATTATATCTTTTAAGATGCCTATACAGCAGCAGAAAGACATACTCTAAGTTCATCTGTACTGAATGAGACCAAGTTATTGAAGATTTTATATAAAGAAATTTTCAGGAGAAAGCACTATTGTGATTAAATAGCACTTGGAAGGAATAGGACAAGGAGCTGGGATGAGGATGGTGTGAAGAAACGGTGCCCAACCACTTGGATCATCTAGGATTGAACACTTTAGCAATAAAGCAAGTAGTCATAGTAGAATAAGTAGTAATCTATAAATTCTATTCTACATAGTAGAATAAGCAAGTAATCTATAAATCCATCAACTTTTTGTATCTCACCTTGTATGTATGTACTTTACCTGAATAAATATTTGTATTTGTATTTTTGTACTTATCTGGAAACCTGACCCCAGAGGCCCACATCAAAAGGATATCAGCAGCATATGCTAGATTGGCCAACATAGGAACTGCCCTTAAGAACTTGTGTAAGGAATCATTCAGGACCTTGTATACCACCTATGTTTGACCAATCCTGGCCTATACAGCTCCAGCCTAGAGTCCATATCTAGTTTAACACAAGACAAAGTTTGAGTAGATTCAGAGGTATACCAGACTAATCCCAGAACCAAGATGTATGAGCTACGAGGAAAAGGCTATGGGAGCTAAACCTCACGTTCCTGGAAAACAGAAGCATAAGGGAAGACATGATCACCACCTACAAAATTCTCAGGTGAATTGACAGGGTGGAAAATGGCAAACTATTTAGCATGGGTGAAACATGAGCAAGAAGACACAGGTGGAAACTTAGTACCCAAATGAGCCACAGAGAAAGAAAAAACTAACTCTGCTAGTCTACCTGTGTATGAAGGTAGACTCCATACAGTTTCAAATGTAGATCTGATAGAGCCCAGTAGGCTCCAGAATCTGTACACCAGTTGATAGACAGTTGAGAGGCGGGACCAAAGGACTAGAGCTCAACCCTGCAAGCACAACTAAGTGATACCTGCTTGATGGGGTTCTGGGAGTTTTTCTACTCCCCAAGCCTGACTTGTGAGAGTTCGGTCCACCAGGCTGTTGCTTGGAGCGGCCCGCAGGCCCACATACCCACCACAGCCCGGTTGGTCCGGCATTCCTTGAAGAAAACTATCTAGTTTTCTCTTGAAGCTGTCCACTGTTGTTCCGCAATATTTCGGCCCTCCGGTATTTTCCTTGTGTATATTATTTGATATCTCTCTCGACTTCTTTCTAGTGAGTACATTTGGAGGGCTTTGAGACGATCCCAATAATTTAGGTGCTTTATCGCGTCTATGCGTGCCGTATATGTTCTCTGTGTTCCCTCTATTTCAGCAATCTCTCCTGCTCTGAAGGGGGAAGTGAGTACTGAGCAGTACTCGAGACGGGACAACACAAGTGATTTGAAGAGTAAAACAATTGTGATGGGATCCCTGGATTTGAAAGTTCTTGTAATCCATTCTATTAAATTAAATTTAATTAAATTAACTTTTTTATTCAGAAAAAGTATGTTGTTGTTGTTGATTTAAAGGCGACGACGATCGTGGGATCGAATGCGCCCCGGCGTACCCGTGAAGGGTGAATCGCGAAGCCTGGAAGGGCGGAACGCCAAGCCAAATCGCGAAACGAGTGACGCCAATCACTAGAAACTAATATGCCATACGGCAAATAAACGCACAGACGGGCAGATGATTGGGGAGCCCCAGGAGTCCCTCAGGGTGACAAGCACCGGCCCCGCTCCACACAGAGAACACCAGGTAGCAAAACCAAAACTCTGCCCCCAACTAAAACATAAAAAGTCATCCAGTGTCCTCCGGCGGAGCAGAAGCCGGCCGCCCACCACGACTGAGGGCACACCAGGAGCCCACCGTCACCCCGCCAACCCCCGGCACCTCTCGGCCAAGCCGGCCCCCCCGACCACCGTCACCCCGCCGGGAGAACCAGCCAGAACACGCCAAAAAAACTCTATAAAAAAACATACATAGATGAAGAGTTACAAACATAATGTTGAATTTATAGATAGAGGTAGTACATGCAATACCTAACGCCACTAATACACATAGCGTTTCGGGCAAGGTGTGGGTGGAAAAAACACTTATTTATTTTTATTTTATTTATATATATACAAGGTACATTGGGATTGTGAGGATACATAGCATAGTAATTACATTCTTGTTATTAATTCATTAAATAAATAAATAAATAAATAAATAAATAAATAAATAAATAAATAAATAAATAAATTGTACAGCCACTAGTACGCGCAGCGTTTCGGGCAGGTCCTTAATCTAAGAAACTTATAAGTAGATAAATGCTTGCAAAATTTATAAAAATGATAAGTTACATAGCATGAAAAAAATAAAAGATGAGAGAAAAATTATAGGTATATTAAAGCACATAGGTAGCTCCGATTGATTGCAATGGCAGCTTGAATGGTAGTTTTAACAAAAATTAGTATGCACAATACAGCATGTGGCTAGCACATAAAAGAAGACAGCAATGAACACAATGATAAAGTTGTTTGGGTTAAGTACATAAAGATTGGGAGATTGGGTAACACTAGATACAGAGCAAAGTTAAAGCTCAGTGTAGGAAACTACAAAGATGAAATTAGGTACTTTTTGTTTTTGTTTTTAAATGAGGTAAAAGTTTGACAGCTTTTCAATTCATATAGACTGAACTGAAACTTAATAGTAATTGGGATTAAAGTATAAATTGTGTTGAAAAAAGGAATAAAAGAAAAGAAAAAAACCGGTGGGAACATGGCAGAAATCAGCAATTGTACAAGTTGGTCAATTAACTAACTGGTCAACAAACACCATTGTTTGAAATATAATTTTATATTATCTATCATTTTTCTAGTCAAGAGCTAGAAAAGAGCTTCTAGCCATTCTTCAAGCCAAGGCGAGGGAGCGCATGACAGAGCTCAGGCAAGATAACTGGGAAACTTTTGTTAACAGTCTCAACTCTCACACCCCCCTCAGCCAGGCATGGAAGGATATTAAAAGAATTAAAGGCGATAAGATCGGCCAAGTAGCACACCCTCACCCTCTACACAGAGCAAACGAGTTAGTCGATGCTTGGGCAACCACCTCTAGCTTCAATAATCTTCCCCCAGCCATACAGTTAAGATTAAATGCTAGTTACGGAGATCGAGAAAGGCTCGTTGACTTCATGCTCCACAAGGAAGATGAATGCAACGTGCCATTTACTGAGTTTGAATTACTCGCGGCCCTAAACAAAGGCAAAGCCACATCCCCCGGTGAAGATGGTATCACTTATGACATATTGCGTCTGCTTCCTTTAGTACCAGGGAATCCCCTGCTTGAGCTGTATAATATGAGCTATGTTACTGGGGAACTTCCTATCTCTTGGACCAACAGTATAATCATTCCAATTCCCAAGCCAAATCAAGAGAATGCTTTCCGCCCAATTTCCCTTACTAGCTGCATTTGCAAAACATTCGAGAGAATGGTCCTAAACCGTCTCCTCCATAGAATAAGAACCATGCTATCCCCCCAGATATATGGCTTCATGCATGGAAGGAGTGTGCATCATTGCATCACCACCTTTCTTACCCTGCACGCTGAAAAGTCATATACCACCTTCCTAGATCTTAAGTCTGCCTTTGATATTGCAAATAGACATGTTATCTTGAGTGAGCTTGCAAGAATGAATATTGGTGGTCGGCTTCTTTGTTGGATCAGGGGTTACTTATCCAACAGGAAGTCATCTGTATTTTTCCAGGGGAATAGGAGTGTAACAAGAGATTTTGAACTAGGTACCCCGCAGGGTGGTGTCCTCAGTCCTACCTTATTTAATATCTTAATAAACACGCTGTTAAACTCTATACCGAGCAAACCCAACGTCCATATCATTAGCTATGCTGATGATATAATGCTACACACCACTGGGTATGCTGATGATATAATGCTACACACCACTGGGTATGCTGATATATGCTACACACCACTGGGTATGCTGATGATATAATGCTACACACCACTGGGTATGCTGATGATATAATGATACACACCACTGGGTATGCTGAGATATAATGCACTCTTAACTCTGTATTAGACTCATGTCAGGACCTAGGTTTAATTATCTCAGCAGAGAAAACAAAGATAAACAATCGGCGGCCACCCAAGCAGGGAGGAGCTGTTCGCAAGATGCAACTGTCTGATGGCTCCCAGCTACAATCCTTGACACACAGCACCGCTCCTGTGCCAGGTAAGTTCACTACGGGCTCACCATACCCCGTGATACTTGGAACTTGTTCCGAGTAGCTGAATATATAACAACAACAACAACTCTCAAGGCTCACACAGCACCGTTCCTGTGCCAGGTAAGTCCACTACGGGCTCACCATAGTGATACTTGGAACTTGTTCCGAGTAGCTGAATATATAACAACAACAACAACTCTCAAGGCTCACACAGCACCGTTCCTGTGCCAGGTAAGTCCACTACGGGCTCACCATAGCCCGTGCTACTTGCCCCGCTCCTATGTCAGGTAAGTTACGGGCTCACCATAGCGCGTGCTACTTGGAACTTGTTCCGAGTAGCTGAATCTAAAACAACAACTCTCAAGGCTGTTGCAGGTTATCACTCAGGCTATGGTGCCAATGTCAGCATTGTCAAAATGATGTACCTTGCATACATCAGATCTTTAGTGGATTATGCTGCACCTCTGCTTGTTTTGATGCCTGAAAGCTTGGAGGGCTTGAAAAATTGCAGAACGAAGCCTTGAGGATAATCCTTGGGTGCCCTCGTACCACAAAGATACTTAATATGAGAAAGGAACTTAATATTCCGAGCGTTGTTGATCGTGT